TATTTTTTTTTTTGTGTTATTGTCATGTATAAAATGTATTCTCTTTTTTTTTTCTTCTTAATATGTTTTTTGGCTAATGATTTATTATATTGTTTACAACAAGTAGTTATTTGATACTTTAGGAATACTATGTGGTATTATTTATGTAATAGTTTAAATCAATAGTGTAGCGAAAAATATTATAGATTAGATATAATGAACTCATTATTTTCAAGCAGTTGACATACTACTTAGTGTGATTTGTGATTTTCTATGCTTTAAGCATCATATAGGTAATGTCATATGGTACTCTAAGACTGTTTAATAATTTTCATTCAAAACACATCATTTATAAGTAATGTCATCTCTTTAATATTTTTCTGTCAAATAAAAATTAAATAGATTCTATAATATTTGTGCTGTAAATGATGTGTTTTTATTTTTTAAAGTTAGGAATTTTGATCCATAATTTTTTGTGCTAAAATTGCAAACTTACATTATCATCTCACACCGAGCTATTCCACACTATTATAGAATTTTGATTTGTTCTTATTAATAATGAATATGTGATTTTTTATGTTTAAATTTATCTCATAAAATGATTTTTATCTCATAGAATGATTTATCAGTTTTACATGATTTTATCTTTGGTGGGTAAAAATAATTTTTCAAAATTTCAAAATAAAATTTCACATTATTTTTGTCAAATTAATTTATATTTTATCAATGTGATAATTTTGTCCTTAAAATTAAACAATGGTATGTTCAGTTGTCTTTATTTGGAACAAAATTGAAAATTCAGGATCAAATGTGTCACAATTAAAAAGTCAACGACCAAAGTAACATGACTCTCAAACTATAGGGACTGATAGTGTAATTTGTCCTTTTGATTATACATTTTTTTAATTAAAAGTAAAAAAAGACAATTATGGCTTTTTTAATTATACACTACTTTTTTTTTATATTTTATATTCAAAATAAAAAAACACGAAGACATTATTATATTTTTATTCTTAATTATTTTTTTTTGGATACAACGGAATTAAAAAAACGAAGACATTAAATTTCAAACTAAATACATAGATTTTAAAAGAAAGTATAAATGGAGAAGAACCAATAAATATAATGATAAATTGGAAATAATAATTCCCGTAAAATTTGGTATTCATTAAAAATTTGTTAGCTATCTGTAAATAACCTTAATATTCGGGGCAATTTTGGTATTTGTTAAAAAAATTAGCTTTTTAATTTTTTAGCATTTTTACACCCAAAAATAAAATAAAATAAAATAAAAATAAACCACAAAAAAAATTACAAAAAAGTCAACTTTTTTAGCCAAAAAAAATATCAAAAAGTCAAAAATTAAAAAATCAATTTTCTATCAATTTTTTAAAATATAACGAAATATGTATGTATAAAATATATATGTGTGTATAAAAATGGCTATCTATAGTCTATATGTATATATATATAATATAAGAAAAAATAGTAAAACATCTCTCTTCAACTTAGAGAAATTTCTTTGTGAAAATTGAAATTTCTCAATATCGAGATCGAAATTTCTTTGTGTTGGTTGAAATTTTTCGGAATTGAATTTTTTCTGTAAAAATATTGCGAGATATTAACTACTATAAAAATATTATATTTATTTTATCTTATAAAATTTTAATATCAAAAACCTTAAAAAAAAATTCTCATAAAATATATAAAATGTTTTGTTAAAAGTATAATTTTTTTAAAGTCATTTACATCTAAACCAACGCTAGTGGGCGTGGCTGGCAAAACTTTTTTTTTTTTTTTTGGTTGGTTTGGTAACCCTGAAAAATAAAATTAAAAAAAATAGCTGCCAATGATCTTGTCTAGGATCTCAGCCGTTGAATGAAATAAAAGGTGTAAACTTTTAACAAATTATGTGGTGACACATATACCCCACACGTTATGGACACGTGGATGCCTATAGAAGCTGGACCGCATCTTCCTTCCTTCCTTCCTTCTTATTTGAGAAAATTATCTGCTACGGTGCGTGCTTTTTTTTTTTGAGGACTAAAGCAGCTTAGAGATTGCATTAATTATCAGAACCATTTCTTATATATATGCTACGGTGCGTGCTTTTAAATGACCACTTATTCCTCTTATTGAGAAATTATCGTGTATGGTATGAATACAACATTACAAATGTACCGGGCCAATAAGCATATATATAAAAATTGTTATGCCATTTCATTCAAACTATCCAATTTACTAGTCATATTTCAATTTTTAAAAAAATTGCACTCTCAATGAAAATTTTATCACGTATAATTCTTAACAGAAAAATAAATTTTTGTAAAATGATTTTGTTAACTATTTCATTCAAAATCAATAATGTTAACAAAATAAAAAATAAAAATAAAAAGGGAGGAAGAAGAGAAGAGTGCAACTAATAGTATACATTTTTACATATTTTTATATTTTTATACATATATCAATATTAATCACACTAGTTAGCACCTTTTTTTAAAAAAATAAAAGGAGGGAGAATAACATTTTCTAAATTATAATAATCTATTTTATTTTTTATTTTTTTATTTTTCATCTTTTAGGATAATTTTGAGTTATGAATGTTGATGTGATGTTGAAACATTAATGGTGGACAAATGACGCCAATTTGATCCGTCTTGATTGATATGGTGAGAAACAAAATTAACATTGTGTTTGGTTTGAATTTTTTGAATTAAGTTTCTTAAAATTTGAGTTTTTTAGTTTTTGTATTTTTTTATTTTTAGTGAATATTTTTAAAATTTTAAATATTTTTTTTTATCTTTTTAGATGCACCTTACTTAGATGTATTTAAAAAGTAAAAAATTTGTGAAAAAATATTTTTAAAAATTAATAAATACATAAAAATATAAAAAATATACTGAATTCTCGTATTTTTTTTATATTTTTGGTATTTAGTGAATTTTTAAAAGGTTTTTTTCACAAATTTTTTACTTTTTAAATATATTTATGTTAGGTATATCAAAAAATTAAAAAAATTACTTAAAATATTAAAAAAATTCATTAGAAACAAAAATACACGAAAAAACAAAAAAAATATAAAAAATAAGAAAGTAGAATTTTCTGAAAAGTATTTTTAAAAAGTGGTAACCAAGCATATATTTATGTTATATTTATTAAACAAATAATGTTAAATAAACAATGTTATATTTATTTATTTTTTTTACAAATAATTTTTTCAAAATATTAAATAAATAATGTTATATTTATTTATTTATTTTTGTATATTTTCATCAAGTAAAAATAAAAAATCATCATTTGATTTGAAAGTTCATCTCCAACAAATTTTTTATTTTATCCAATCTGATATCCCAATTGCGTAGACTCTAGGCCTAGTTTGGACGTGGGCTTAAAAGTAAAGAATTGATTTGCTCGTTACCTTGTGATTGGACCCTCCTAGCTCAACAAAAAATAAAAAGTAAAATCATTGGGGTTAACTATCATTTTAACTTTTCGTCTCATCCAATCAAGGATGTGTGTGGTACGGTTTAGACGATTTGAGAATAAAATTACAAATTAAATGACGGATTAACTGATTGATAGATTGAAAAATTACGATTTAGACAGTTTTTGACAGATTGATGGATTGAAGAATATTTTAACTAATTATTATATATTTACATAATATATAACACTAATTTGTAATAAATTTCATATTTTAAATCTTTTTCACTCATTTTTCTATTGATATTTCATTGAAATCATTTTTACATTGATATTTCATTGGAGGTTAAAAAATATATATGTATTAAATATAGCGGAGCGGAGCGGTTCGGTTGGCGGATTATAAATTTTAAAGTTTAAACCGCAGTTAGCGATTAGAGCGGTACGAATTGATGCGAATCGGTGTGGTTTTAGCGGATTAGGCGATAGTTTACACAGTCCTACATCCAATACTCATTGACTATTATGTGGTGTTTTAAAAAATTGACAAAAAGTTAATTTTTTGATTTTTTTTTTATGACTTTTTGACTTTTTTGTGTTGAACAAGTTGATTTTTTTTTTGTGACTTTTTTGTGTAAAAAAGTTAAAAAATCAAAAAATTAACTTTTTAGGATGTTCTCAAAACAAGCCTATTTTAAAAATTTAGTAATATTTAAAAGTATAATTAATTAATAATTAAAGAAGATGAGAAAGAGAATTATCTTATATTTTTTTAATAAACTATTATTTTATTAAATTTAAAAAATGAATCTAAATTAACATGCACTATTCAGTGTGTTTAGTTTTAATTTTCTGAATTTAATTTCTTAAAAATTTAGTTTTTTATTTTTCATATTTTTTTTACTTTTAGCAAATATTTTAAAAATTTTAAATAATTTTTTTTTTTACTTTTTTAGATGTACTTTATTTAGATGTATTTAAATAGTAAAATATTTGTAAAAAAAATATTTTAAAAAATTAATAAATACATAAAAATACGAAAACGTAGTAAATTTTCATATTTTTAGTATTTAGTGAATTTTTTTTTAAAAAAAATTACAAATGTTATAATTTTTAAGTGTATTTATGTTAAATGTGTCAAAAAAATTAGTGAAAACAAAAAATAATATGAAAAATAAAAAAATAAAATTTTTTAAAAAGTAAATTCTAAAAATAAAAATATTCTAATTTTTTTCACTTTTTATTGTTCAAGATGCTATGAACCACTGTATAATAATATCTTCTTCTGCCAACAAGTGGACAAATGGCCTATTATTGGACAACCATACGGCTACGTGTTACACCGGATGCACCATATAACTCCTCCGCCCGTTTTACACCGTTGCAATTCAAAAAGCTAAAACCTTGAAAACAAAAACCATACCATAGTCAAATGCCAGTTCCATTCATCTTATTCCTCCTCTCTGTACCTCTTCCAAGTTCCAATTCCTTAATCCTCAGTCCAAAGCTACTTTCTCTCTCCACATATACATACATACATACATACATATATATATATATATATCTGTAATCTGCTTCTTTTCTTTTTTTCCTTTTCCTGATTCAAAAACCTATTAAAGTTGTCTGCTTTAGGTTTGTGATTTCTTTAGATTCTTGATTTCCTGTGAATTGATCTGAGTGGTGTGTATGGCATATGCGAACCAGAATCAAGGTGTTTTTGTTCGGTATCATCAATTGATTGATCCTCGCTCTCTGAACCAACCTGTTACCTTCGTCACCGGACCACCCATCGCTCTCAATTTCATAAACCCTAGCAGTGGGACAGTATTGGTTCCACCCAATCCAACCCTAGTTCCTTCTTTTGGTTTCGCTTTGGACCCAGCTTTTCTGGTTCGAATCGAGGAGGCAAGGTCACGATCTCTGCTTCAGGTATACATGAACTTCCATTTTCGTTATGCATATTGGTCGATTACTTATTTGGGTTGTTGATTTGTTGATGATTTTGATCTGTATAGTTTATGGCAGATGAAGGACTTGTGCCTTCTCCAGAAGAGGAAATTAGGAGGAAAAATGCCATTGAGAAGCTCAAACAGGTTATTCTCTGTCTCTCTTTCTCTATTTGATTTTGTATGTCTGTCTGTGTATAGATGACATTGCTATGCCTATCTGATTGCAATTTCTTTGGGGTTGAGCTGAATTTTGTTAAGGAGTTCATTGATTCATATATATATATATATATATTAGGGGAGAATGGTGCATGATTTGGTTTGTGCTTTAAGTTTTTAAGAAACATCTTATCATGTGATTTTGTGGCCTATATGGAATTCATATGTTTGAGGTAGCAGTTAAAGGTTACGCTGCAAATGGAATCACCTGTATGCTTCAAGGGGGACCAAATATTTTTGAAATTCAAGTTTATCAGTTACCTTTGTTGTTGAAATGGATTCATGAGATAGCCTTCATATGTGCTTTCTTTAATTTACTTATGTGATGCTCATTGTGTGTAAATTTCAATATTTTATGTCACCTAACAGATAGTGATGGAATGGATTAAGAGTGTTGCTCACAAACGTCAGCTTCACCGACAACATACTACAGATGCTTCTGCCACTGTATTAACATATGGATCGTATGGCCTTGGAGTAAGTCATTTGTTTGGAAGTTTTTTTTTGTCTTTCTTTTGTTTCCTTATTTTTCTATCGTCAGGAATAGATGGGGAGGGGGAATTCATGATACTTTGTTTCACTTATTAACAGCTTGCAAGTAACTAAATGACTAGAATTGACACGTAAATGAAGAGAAATATTTTCACTTTGTAAATTTTTTTATTTATTTTTTATTTTTTTTACTACGACTCGATCTAGCTACAATCATTGGAAGATAAAAGATGACCGATCTGGTTTGTGCTTTTCTTGTCTAATATTTTCTTGGTGTTTAATAGGTTTGCAACGAGTAGTTGTAAGTTTCCTCATGCATAGGGGTTCTGTTCTAGGGAGAAATCTAAATGGCATTAGCAGGAAAATCTACATCCAAATGTTCACTAAACTCTTATCACTTAAGGCTTGGTTTGGTTTGGTTTGGTTATAAAGGGTTCCTCTTAGAGGAAAAGCCTAAATACAGCTAGTAGAAACATGGCAACTGGAAATTTTGGAATAATAAATTTACACATCCTTCTTCTGACCTGATTTTTTAATTTTTTTTTGGGTTCTATTCAGGTTCATAATTCAGAGTCAGATATTGATGCTTTATGTGTTGGCCCTTGCTTCGCTACTTTGGCAGTAAGCCTTTTTATTTTCATGTTCGTATACATCATATATGATATTGTGTAGGTAGTATCTCGACTTGTTATCTTGTGAACCATGCAGGAGGATTTTTTTGTTGTTCTGCACAGCATGCTTACAAGCAGACCGGAAGTATCTGAGGTCCACTGCGTCAAGGATGCAAAAGTTCCTCTAATGCGGTTTAAACTTGATGGGATCTCAATTGATCTTCCATATGCACAACTTAAAGTAATGTCTGTTCCTGAGGTGAGTGTGATGCATGTAGAACCAAATCCTTCAAAACAGTCTGTTCCTACAGTTGTTTCTGTATATACACAAGGATCTCATGTGTGTAGATTTCTCTATCTAAAACTATACCTTTCAAGAGATCTTTTTATTTTTATTTTTTGGGTGCTGATTTTAATAAATTCCCCCATTCTTTTCATCAGCATGTTGGAAATTAGTATTTCAACAATCTCGTTATATAAACTCTCTGCATTATTTGTTCTTCTTCTGGTTTTTTTTTTTTTCCTGTTGGAGATTTGAGTTGCCATGTTATGATTTGCAGAATGTGGACATACTCAACCCTTTCTTTCTGAGCAACATTGATGAAACCAGCTGGAGAAGTTTGTCTGGAGTTCATGCTAACAAATGCATTCTTCGGCTTCTCCCGAACATGGAGGTATCAAGCATGCTATCTATGGGTTCCTATGGTAATTATTTTTGTTCTAGGTGCAAGTAGTTCTGCTGGTTTTCAAGGTTGAACGCCAGAGCAGAATCTGTCTCTATTTCTTGAATTTTGCACCTGCATTAGAAAATAATTTAGCTAGTTCTCATTAGCATGCTCTCTATGGCATCAAACCATGAATACCTGTGGGGTTTTGTTTTCAAAACCGCTGCCACCTTGATATTAATATATACATGATAATCATTCTCTTTCAGCTCTCATTTTTTGTGTGCTAGGTGGTGCTTTCAGAGTTCTTGTAGATCTCATATATTCTCGGATTGTTCTATTCCAGGTATTCAAATCACTGCTGCGATGTGTTAAATTATGGGCAAAAAGGCGAGGAGTGTATGGTAATGTAAGGGCATATAAGCTTGGTATAGGGTCACATTTGAGATTTGTCTTTATGTGTTCTCCCCTAGCCTCTGTCAAGGGTAAAGGAATCCTACTAATTCTACTCGTATGTGCAGTTACTTGGGTTTTTTGGAGGAGTCCATTTAGCTATTCTTGCGGCATTCATTTGTCAAAGGCACCCAAATGTGAGCTTGAATGGTTTGATTTCAAATTTCTTTAAGACGTATGCCTTTTGGGATTGGCGAACTCCGGTAATTTTGCAAGATGGGATGGTGCCCACGACTATAAGTGCCAGTGAAATACGGTCCTTGATGCCCATTAGACTTCCATGCAGACCACATGAATATTGCCATTCTAATATCACCAAGAGCACCTTCTACCGAATCACGACAGAGTTTCACCAAGGGCATGCTTTGACAAAGGTTCCTTTCATTTTTTAAATGGATATCATTATTATAATATCTCTTGTACGTTTAACTGATAACTGCTTTCAATTGTTGTTTGTGATGTATTTTTGGAATCTGAGTGTAGTTTTATTATTTTTATTATTATTAATATATGGATTTGCTTAAGCTATCTTTTTTCTTGGCATTGCAGGATCTCCTGAGACCAGATTTTGGTTGGGCTTGCCTATTTGAGCCTTTTCCGTATACAAAAAAGTACACACGATTTGTCAAAATATGCCTTGCAGCTTCTGATCAAGATGAGTTAGGAAAATGGGTGGGTTGGGTTAAGTCACGGTTCCGCAGCCTTCTTGTTAAGGTTAGTGTCTTCATCTCATTTTAGATTATTAACTTCTTGTTGATAACTACTGTGATTGTGTAGGCAACTACATGTGTATTCTCTGTACTTACTGGATGTGTGGTAAATTTGGGGCCGCCCAGACCAATATACACGAGCAAAATAAAGATCTTCAAATTGTAAACTAAAAGTCTGTTTGCTAGGGCACCTTGGGATGCGGCAATGCGGTAGAGAATCAACTTAGCTATGTTGATAAGTACTTCTTGTTGATAAGTACTTATGTTCACGGTAGAGAATCAACTTAGCTAGCAGCTCTAAATATGTGGGAATGAGGCAATGCTATGTTGCAATGTTTCCTCAAGCAGTAAAGTATGCCAACACAAAGCCCTGGCCCGTTTTTACCGCAAACCATTCATATTCTAGCAGTCTGTCGTTCAAGTGATAGCCCCCCTAGATGGTACACTTGCACCCAAAAGTTTCTTTTCTTCCTTTCTCAGTTGCATTCCAAATTTCTCAACTTCTCAATGTTCAACCTAATTTTTTTTTTTCTTCTTTTCTCATTGCTTGCTTGTCAGAAGGCAACATCCACAACTACCTCACTGTCACTTATTATAAAGCAGTGGAGCTGATAGGGGCACAGTCAGAAGACATTAGGAAACAAGTGCAAATAGCACATAATAGGTGCCATGCACTTATTTAGGAGAGATGCTTTTTCATGTGCAGAAAATCAGGGGGGTTTTAAGCATGGTATATCCACATGTAATCTCTATGTTAATGAAAAAAAAAAGAAAAAAGCCTGGTCTAGTATAGTTATTTTTATTTTTATTTTTCAAAATTAGTTGTATAAATGTACTCCTAATTGTACCAGACTTCAGGACAAGCAGTGTACCAGCAGCATGCTGCTTTCCCATTTGATGATTTCTGAAGTTGCATAGTTAAAATTATGTCAAATTTTGCATCAGTTGTGTGGTTCCTATGGAGAATAGAAGTATAAAATGGAATCTAACTTACTGGGGGCTAGCCAAATTATGTCTCCAAGTGTCTTTAAATCCACCTCTATGTTGCTTGATCTTTTAGATACTGTCTTGCTCCTTTTGAACGCTAACACTATATTTGTTTGCTTCACAGCTGGAGGAGCTTCAGAGTTTTTGTGACCCCAACCCTACAGAGTATGTTGATGTGAATGTAACAGAGCCGAACATCGTGTTTTACTGGGGCTTAGGCAGGAATGGTTTCTTGGACTTAAGGTCTGTCAAGGAATATTTTGTTCAGAGCATAAGGGCGGGCTATCAAGGCCGTACTGGAACGATGAAGCTTTCAGTTGTGCAAGCATCCCAGCTACCCAAGAATGCTCAGTTTGATAATTAAAGCAACAATGGGTCAAAAGCCTGTTATGGGAAGTTAAATTGCAAGACAGTTCCAGCGTACTCAAACTATCTGCCACCCAATGTTGAGTGCTTGATCACTAATGCAAATCCTGAGTACCCAAGTGCTGGGGGATAGACAGATAGACTCTTGTAACAGCCACTTTATGTATCGGGGTTGTTTTGTTTTGCGATACTTGCTTTTGGGGTTCTGGTTTACAGATTGTTTGGTGGTGTAGTTGACACATGTTTTATAGTTTTTTGGGGAAATACAAAGATTATAGGAGCCGGGAGCTAGACGATTGTGAGGAAATATTAAAGGGTTGTAAATCTCACGTCAATTTGTCAAATGTATACATTCAATAGAAAATTTACTTGTTCATTGGGGACGAATGTTGTCTCTGTTTATTCAATTTTGTTTTGGCTGCTGCACTGTGGTTTGGTTTTGGGAGATGGATTTAGGAATTAGTTTTCATGTTTTTAGTACAAAGACCAGTTTAATTTTGTTTAGATCAGAGATTAGTTCATTTTTGTTTTGTTTAGATTGGTTAAAGCAGAACCTTAAAACAAGGTTGAAGGATGTGTAGTAGCTAGGGAAGAAGAAGCAAAGGCTTAAGGAAGAAAGCACAAAAGCTGTATTATTTTTCAGAATTTTACATACCCCCCATATGGGAGTTCCTCAATTATTTATAACTACTTCTTTGCCTCACCCTTCTAACTGCCTAACTAATTCACAACTGAGGTAACTGACTAACTAATTCACAACTGATGTAACTGACTGACTAACTAATCTCTCAACCACTACCTAACTAACTTCCTTCAATTGACCCATAATCCAGAATAATCCAGAACCTTCTTGACATAAATCCCTGTATGACTGATTTTTTTGTTTTGGATTTTTGATTGACTTTTAAGAGGTATAGTCCGTTTGGAAAGATAGATTGTAGGCTTTTTTTTTGACTATTTTAGTTATAAAAGACAAAATAGGCTATTTTAGCCACAACAAATAAAACATCACATCCAAATCATTACACTCTTCTCTCACAAAAAAAGTAAAAAAATTCAAAAAGTCCTTTCCAAATCAAACTTTTTAGCCCAGGTTAAAATAGTCAAAAAAGTCAAAAAGTCAAAAAGTCAATCCACTCTCCAAACCAACCCGGAGTCTTTTACCAGACCCAAGTAATATTGCAAATAAAAATTTTAAATGTGAGTTATTTTGAACTTATTTTCCATTGCTTTGCAATCATGTCCGAAGTTCACTGAAGTAGTAGCCATGTTTGGTTGGATTTTTAGAATTTTTTTAATTAAAATTTAATTTGGTGAAAACAATAAAAAAATATCCATCATTTTCATATAATTTTATCTTCTGGAGGATGGAATAAGTTCTTAAAATATAAAATATCTTTTTGGTATTTATTTTTATCAAACTATTTTCAATTTAAAACAAAAATAAAAAAATCAGCAAACAATTTTTAAAAATCAAATCAAACAATGCTTGTTTTAAATAATACTATTTCATAGAACTACCTTCTTTTTTTTTTTGTTTTTCGATCAAATTTTCAAAGAACAACTTGAGTATGAGAAATAATTTTAAATAATTTACGCCGTACTCGGACCCACACCGATAATTCAAACCATCTAGTTCGTAAGTTTCGCAATAAAGATTATCCATATAAAAAATGAGTTTCATCAAAAAAATTATAAACTTAGAAAAAAATCATATTTTATTTTATAAAATGAACGACAAATTTTATTGTAAATTTAAACTATCTATTTCATAAAATAAAATGTTTTTTGTTTTTGTGTTTATAATTTTTCGATGAAATTCTTTTTTTGCATAAATAGCCTTTATTATGAAACTTACGAAATTAATGGTTCAAATTATCGATGCGAGTTCGAATGGAGACCTACAAAAAAAAAGGTATAGAAAGGCACGAAAAGATAAAAGCATGAATGGGAGCTTATCCCATGTCAAAAGCCACTTCCGTACATGCATAAATCATTCAATTCCATTTTCACAAATCATCAAAAGCCGTTTATGGTTGCATTCAAATCTATTTAAGTAAGAATAATATTATATGTATTAATTAGTGTATCAGTTGATGATGTGACATAATCTAAGAGATTTTTGATTTTTGTAATATAATTAAGGGAAAATCGGTCTAGGGTCCCTCTCCCACTTTTCGTAATGGAAGAGGTCCACAAAATTATATTATGATGTCTAAGGTCCCTACAGAGAAATTTCATATCCCTCACCCTTCAAACCTCCATAAACCAATTCGATGATTTGTCTCTCCATTCTAGAGAGAGAATCTAGAGAGAGAGAGCGCCATAGTTGCATTGCAGATCTGTTGAACAGACATGGAGGCTGCCTACTTCAATGATTCTCAACGTGAGGCAGCAAACGATGATGGTGTAATTGCTGGACTCAATGTAATGCGTATCATCAATGAACCCACTGCCGCTCCTTCTTGGCAGCCTCTCGGATCAGATCATCGAAGAAATCTTCTATTGTTATCAGACATATGTTAAAATAGTCAAAAAAGTCAAAAAGTCAATCCACTTTTCAAACCAACCCTGAGTCTTTTACCAGACCCAAGTAATATTGCAAATAAAAATTTTAAATGTGAGTTATTTTGAACTTATTTTCCATTGCTTTGCAATCATGTCCGAAGTTCACTGAAGTAGTAGCCATGTTTGGTTGGATTTTTAGAATTTTTTTAATTAAAATTTAATTTGGTGAAAACAATAAAAAAATATCCATCATTTTCATATAATTTTATCTTCTGGAGGATGGAATAAGTTCTTAAAATATAAAATATCTTTTTGGTATTTATTTTTATCAAACTATTTTCAATTTAAAAAAAAAATAAAAAAATCAGCAAACAATTTTTAAAAATCAAATCAAACAATGCTTGTTTTAAATAATACTATTTCATAGAACTACCTTTTTTTTTTTTTTGTTGTTTTTCGATCAAATTTTCAAAGAACAACTTGAGTATGAGAAATAATTTTAAATAACTTACGCCGTACTCGGACCCACACCGATAATTCAAACCATCTAGTTCGTAAGTTTCGTAATAAAGATTATCCATATAAAAAATGAGTTTCATCAAAAAAATTATAAACTTAGAAAAAAATCATATTTTATTTTATAAAATGAACGACAAATTTTATTGTAAATTTAAACTATCTATTTTATAAAATAAAATGTTTTTGTTTTTGTGTTTATAATTTTTCAATGAAATTCTTTTTTTGCATCAATGGCCTTTATTATGAAACTTACGAAATAAACGGTTCAAATTATCGATGCGAGTTCGAATTGAGACCTACAAAAAAGGTATAGAAAGGTACGAAAAGATAAAAGCATGAATGGGAGCTTATCCCATGTCAAAAGCCACTTCCGTACATGCATAAATCATTCAATTCTATTTTCACAAATCATCAAAAGCCGTTTATGGTTGCATTCAAATCTATTTAAGTAAGAATAATATTATATGTATTAATTAGTGTACCAGTTGATGATGTGACATAATCTAAGAGATTTTTGATTTTTGTGATTTGTATTAGCAATGGAATCAATAATAATATCTAACTAGTATTGTACACTAATTAGTACATGTAGTACCGCTGTTTAAGTAATATTAGAGACTCTAAGTTTGGAAACATAGGAGAGAAAACAAATGAAATGAAATGATTACTGAAGTTATAAGAGAAGATAAAAGAAAAGAAAAAAATGATTGTGATTTCTCTTCTTCTTATTTAGATAAGTAAGAAATAAAAGAAAAGAAATGATTATGATTATGATTTCTTTCTTAGAGCATCTCCAATGCACTAGGCATATAATACTTGTTAGTTAAAATGCCTAGTGTGATTCACTTTTTTCAATTCCAATGCACTAGGCATATGATTAGGCATTTTAGCTCAACTCATATTCACTAGCTACATGTAGCTAGCCTTCAACGCTAGGCAAAATGTATTCAATCATTAGGATCATTTCCCTCCATCATTGTTGTTGACGTGGCATTCTATAAAATTAATAATGCTTGGATAAATAGCTAAAATAAAGAGCATGATTGGAGTAAAAACATAAAGCAGTTGATAGGCAAAATAAAATATATACTTTATAGTAATATTTAGATATGTAAAATGCCTACTACCGTTGGAGATGCCCTTACTTGTTTGGTTAGATTTCATAAGAGAAAAGAAAAGAAATTATTTTATGTTATATTACAAAAATAACCTTTTATATTTTCAATCATTTTATTCCTTTTATTTTTACAGGGACAAAATTGATATTATAAAAATATTAGTTTCTTTTCTCTTCCAATTTCTTCACTTTTGGAAAGATTGAAAATGAGGGTTATAAGAGAAATGAGTTTATCTCCATTTCTCTTCATTTGTCCCCATTTCTCTACACTTAAGTTATTCAAATAAATAAGAGAAATACATATCTCTCCATTTCTTTTTTTTTTTCCTCTCCAAATCACCCAATCCAAACATAATGAATTACTAAATATTAAGTCACATAAGTGTAAGACCTAATACACATGAGATCCTCTTCAAATCACCCAATCCAAACATAATGAATTACTAAATATTAAGTCATATAAGTGTAAGACCTAATACACATGTGATCCACATTCACAACTGAAAGACTCTTTTGCGTCCAAATCTCAATTTGATGGTGTTGGCCACGTTGATGGCCTAACATTAGTCTCACTTTAATAATTCAATCCATTTTTATATTAATCCAATAATTGTACCAAGCTAATTTAATAATGTTTGGTTTTTAGAAAAATAAATGACCAGTATAATTTGAAACTCAACAGTTCATTTTTTTTATAAAAAAAAAAAATCATAAATTGAATAATTTGATTATTTTGTAGATTATCTACACCAACAACACAAAGGACTAAACATATAAACCTATTTAAAATTGAACAATTACATTTATTTTGTTGATTATCTACCGAAATAAGTCTACGTGCACAAAAGACCAAACATTGCCTTCGTTGACATAAGTTAAAATGAGATTTTTTTGGCTAAAATAGTTATAAAAAAACAAAATAAGTTTTTTAACCTAATAAAATAAAATGTTACATCCAAATTATAATCATTTAATTTTTTATTTCACAAAAGTTAAAAAAGTCAAAAAAACCTATCACAAACGAAATTTTTTAGCCCCAAACAAAAAATTAACCCACGCAATAAGGTCTCGTTTGACAAATGACTTTTTTACTCAAAAAGTCAAAAGTCACTAAAAAAAAATCGAAAAGCCAACAATTTATATAAAAAAGTCAAAAATTTCATTTTTTTTTCTATTTTTTGCATATATTTTTGCAAAAAATTAAAAAATTATTTCAAACATATTAATTCTTTTACTTCACATTTCAATCAAAAAAATTAAAAA